TTCTGGAGAGCAATTTGGAACTATGCCCAAAGGACTATAAAACTGCGCATACCCTTTGATCCAACAATACCACTACTAAGTCTATATCCCAAAAAGATTATAAAAAAGGGAAAAGGACCCACAATATGTACAAAAATATTTCTAGCAGCTCTTTTTGTGGTGGCCAAGAATTGGAAATTGAGGGGATGCCTATCAATTGGGAATGGCTGAACAAGTTGTAGTACATGAATGTAATGGAATACTATCGTTCTATAAGAAATGATGAGCAGGCAGATTTCAGAAAAACCTGGAAAGACTTGTATGGTCTAATGCTGAATGAAGTGAGCAGAACCAGGAGAACATTGTACACAGTAACAGCAACATTATGCGATGACTAACTTTGACAGACTTAACTCTTCTCAGCAATGCAATGATCTAAGTCAATTCCAAAAGATTCATGATGGAAAATGCTATCCCATTCCAGAAAAAGAACTATGGAGTCCGAATGCAGATGGAAGAATACTGTTTTCTCTTTTTTTGTGTGTTTTGCTTTTTCTTTCTCATGGTTTTCCCTTTTTGTTCTGATTCTTCTTTCACCACATGACTAATGTAGGAATATGTTTAATATGATTGTACACACATAGCCTATATCAGATTGCACGCTGTCTTAGGGAGGGGGGGAAATTTAGAACTCAAAATCTTACAAAAATGACTGTTGAAAACTAAAAATAAGTAAATTTTTTTTTTAAAAAGGATAAATATAAAATAAGGGGCACAGAAGAAAGACTTTTATGAGAATTAAGTTTCAGTAAGAAAAATAATGGCAGAGAGACTAAGCAAGTGACCGAGGATATCTTGAGGCTTAAAAAGGGTCTAAAAGATTAAAAATGGGTATAGTTTCTTATATCAGAGCTCTCTGACTGGGCAGTTGGGATGCCATCTTTAAAGTTGTGTTCCACAGAGTGTCACTTCACATTTCAGGTTATTGTGACATGCAAGACAACAGAGTGATAACCAATAAAGCAATGGCTTTGGACAGTAGGGTCTCTGTAGATTAGAGACTCATGAGGAGCTAACAAGACACCATGAGAAAAGCTAGTGTTAAAAAAGCAATCATTCTTAGAATACTGGTACTTACCTCCCATCTGTGTTATAATGCAACTCCATGACTGCCCCACTGTGTCCTTTCAGGGTGGCATAATTATCACAATCCCCATACACATTCCACAACACTGTGAAGTAAACAGAGAAATTTTTGTTAATCCTACTGGGCACTAGCCCCTCCAGTGTGGCCTGAGGACTCTCAGTTATTGGAATTTGTTGCTTCTCTAGAACCTAGATTATGGATGAGATACAGAAAACAAAGTCTATATTAGACAAGAGAGTCAGGAGAGCCATTTTTCCCTCTTACCTTGGGCACCTGTGGCTAGAGGAAATGGAAGTCGGGTAGATTTTAATTCTCTACTTCCTGTCTTCCACGTGGCACCTCATGTTCTGATGACAATGTTTTTTTTCCCCAGCACAGACGTTCCCACCAAGAGACAGGACCTCTCAACTAATGGCTGCTGCCGTGTTCCACCTCTCATTTTCGAGAATTCCCACTGCTTAGGGGAATGAAGTCAGCAGATAAGCTTTCTCTTCAGTATATTCTGAAACTCTGGTGCTAGTGACCTTTCCCTTACCTATAGGGTCATCTCAAGCCTTCAGCAAACCAAAAAGCAGCTGCTACTCCCCATAAATGTATTAACATCACTCTCAGACAATTCTTTGTTCTTTTCCCCATTTCTTCTGTGTTCATCCTGTCTAATGCTGGTACTCTCCACTCATCATCATACCTAACGTCTCCTCACTACACAAAGCATTCCCTGCCCACAAAAACTCCCTTCAAATCAAAATTATTTTTTTTAAAAGAAAACAGCATATCATTCAGTAATTTTATAGCTCTTCTTTTTCAAAATATAAATTGCCTTTAAGGTTTTAAGAGTATACACAGCACTATATCTAAAAGAAAAGAATAGCTTGATTAGTTACGGTCACACAGTTCAGAGCAAATGCTCCTCCAAAGCAAGTAGGATGCAGGAGAGAAGGATGTGGATGAACTGCTCACTAAATTAACAAACATTTATTAAGGGCCTACTATGTGGCAGGCACTGTGATAAGTGCGGAGAATACAAAAACAGGCAAAAGATAGTCCTTATCCTCAAGGAGCTTACAATCCAATAACATGCAAACAAATATATACAAAGTAAGCTACATACATGACAAATAGGAGATAATTAACAGAAAGAAAGCACTAGAGTTAAGAAAGCTAAAGGAAGGCTTCCTGTAGAAGGTGGAATTTTAACTGGGACTTAAAAGGAAGCCAGAGTCAGTAGTTGGAGAAGGAGAGAGGTTCCAGGCATGCAGGAAAGCCAGAGAAAATGCCTGGAGCTGAGAGATAGGGAGTGTCTTGTTCCTGGAACAGTTAGGAGGCCACTGTCGCTGGACCAAAGAATACTTATCAGGAAGTAAGGAGTAAGAAGACTGAAAGGTAGAAGGCTAGGTTATGAAGGGCTGTGAATGTTAAAGAGAGCATTCGCTATTTGCTCCTGAAGGCAATAAGAAGCCAGTGGAGTTTATGGAGTGTTGGGGGGGAGGTAGGGGGTTGTCATGACTGGATTTAGGCTTTAGCAAAATCACTTTACTGGCTGAATGGAGGATGGGTTAGAGTGGGGAGAGACTTCAGGCAGGCAGACCTATCAGCGCTATTGCAATAGTCCTGGCATGAGGTGATGAGGGCCTGTACTAGAGGGGTAGCAGTGTCAGAGAAGAGAAGGGAGCATGTTTGAGAAATACTGCAAAGACAAAATAGGCAGGCTCTGGAAACAGCTTGGATGTGGGGGGGGGGGGGTGAGAGATGGTGAGGAATCCAGGATGACTTCTATGTTGCACCCCTGAGGGACTGGGAGTATGACATTGCCCTTTACAGTAACAGGGAAGGTAGGAGGGGGAGCAGGGTTTAAGGGGAAAGATAATGAGCTCTATTTTAGTTGAGTTTAAGATGTCAACTGGACATCCAGTTTGAGATGTATGAAAAGCAGCTGAAGATGCAAGACTACAGGTCAGCAAAGAGGTTGGGGCAGGCAGCTTTAAGAATCATCAGCATAATTAAATCCATAAGAGCTGATGAGAGCACCATGTGAAGTAGTATAGAGGGTGAAGAGAAGAAGGCCCAGGACAGAACCCTGTGGAACACCTATAGTTAGAGGGTATGATCTGGAAGAGGATCCAGCAAAGAAGACAGAGAAGGAATGGTGAGATAAGTAGGAGGAGAACCAGGAGAGAGTAGAACACCCAGGGAGAAAGGAGGGATCAACAGTGTCAGAGGCTGCAGAGAGATCAAAGAGAATGACGACTGAGAGCAGGCCACTGGATGTGGCAACTAAGAGATCACTGGTAACTTTGGAGAGAGCAGTTTCAGTGAAATGAGGTCAGTAGCCAGACTGTAAGGGGTTAAGAGCGAGAGAAAAGTGGAAGCATCCATTTTACTCAGCCTTTTCGAGGAGCTTTGTTACAAAGGGTAGAAGAGATATAGGATGGTGACAGTTAACAGGGATGGAAGGATCAAGTGAGGAGACATGGGCAAGTATGTTTGTAGGTAGTAGGGAATAAGCCAGTAGACAAGGAGAGATTGAAAATAAGTGAAAGAGTAGAGACGACAGAGGGAACAATCTGTTAGAGGAGACAGGACAGAATGGGATCGCCTGAACAAGTAGAGGGGTTGGCTTTGGTAAGGAGTAATGCCACTTCCTCATGTGAGACAGGGGTGAAGGAGAAGAGAATGGCAGAAGGTACCTTTCTTTTGATTCTATAATGTTCTCTCCCATTTCCCTTAGTAAAACATAAGCTGGAAGTACACAAAATTCCAGCAAGCTTCCTGTCCAGCTTAATCAGGCATCCTATGAAAAAGATCTGGCGATGTCAGTGCACTGCCAGGCTCAAGCCAAGTCCAAGGTATGACACAGCAGTCAAAAAAGCTTATGTTGTCTCAGGACACACCAAGAGTCACGGTGTCCATATTAAGGAGATAAGAAGCTCACAATACACTGCTCTAGTCAGAGCCCATGTGATAGGCTTAGTCTGGGGTGGCATGTTCTGAAAAGAACGTGGATTAATACATTCAGAAGAGTGAACAGAATAGCGATAGGAATGAAGCCCGTATTATAAAAGGTCAAGTGAAAGAACTGAGGATGCCTAGTTTAGAGAAGAAAGCCTTCATAGACACATGGAAAAGGAATAAGACAAGTTCTGCTTGGCCCCAGAGGAAAGAATTAGGAGCAATGGGTACTACAGACAGGCAGACTTAGGACTGATGTAAATAAATACTTCCTTAATAAGAGCTGACCCTAGGTAGTAATCTAAGCACGGTAACCCTAACATACCCCAGTATCCTTTCTACTTTTCCCTTAATTCTTCTCTTCTACAGTAGCTGAAATTCATACCACTCCTCCTTGATAATCTCACCTTCTCACATACTGAGTGATTTCTGTGAGAAATTACTTGGAATACATTTAGATTATGGTTTAAATTTGACAGTTTGTATGTCTCCTAAAGAGGCAGGCAACAGAGAAAATGGTTATGAAAACATGCTTTTGTAACTGAGCCTTGAGATAAAAACGGAGTTGGGAGTCAGACTGAGTTAGGGCCTGTAAAGTAATACCCTATTCACTCTTCCTTTCCAGCTTCAAGGATCACCAACCCACCCATCCTCCCTCCTGCCCCCCTCCACTTTCTCTGTCTCTCCCTTCTCTCTCTCCACCTCTCTCATTCTCCCTGCCCCCCTTTGCTCATATATATGTATATTCTTGTAGTCTTTGAGGTATTTTCAAGACATTAACTGTTTAATGGTGAAGTATTAAAGAAGATACATAAACAACGACTTACAGATGAGCCGGTCAAATCCTGCAGACGCTAAGGTGGATCCATTGGGGTGGAACTTGCTACAGTATACTTCCCCTTCATGTCCTGACAGCAGCATGATGGGAGCCTGAAGGGAGGAACATCTGGGAGGACCCTAAACACACAAAAGAAAGACAGGCTGGCTACCATATTCATGGATTTAAAGAGAAGATGAGTGGTTATTTGTGTTTTTGGGGGGAAAGGCAGGAAGGATTAGAGAGGGAAGAGGGGACAGATCAAGAAAAAAAAGGACACAAAAAAGTAATTTTTCTCTTTTTAAAGATCAAATAAATAAAAACAAATTTTTTTTCCTAATTAACAGAGGATTACATCACAACTAACTGTGAGTATCAAAATTATTGTGTCTTTCTTACTTTATCTCCAGTCTTAATTGTCTCCTGGAAAACAGTGAGTCAGTCAATAAGAACTTAGTAAGTGCCAGGAAATGCAAAGGCAAAAATCCTGGTCCCTGTCCTCATGGCACTCATGTCCTAATGGACGAGATGATATGCAAATTACCTTTTATCTACAGGTCAAATACAGAATATGTGGAACGTAATTTCATAGGAAAGATAGTAGCAATGGGAGGATGGGAGAGGACACATAGAAAGGCCTCTTGCAGAAGGTGGTTCCTGAGCTGAATCTTAAAGAAACCCAAGAGGCACAGGCGAGGAAGGAGAGTAGGTTGGGCCCAGGGAATGAGCAAGGAAAAAGCACAGTGAGGTAATGGACTGGACAGTAAGGAAGCCGGTGTCACTGGACCAGAGTAAAGTATAAGACTGGGAAGACAGAAAGGGAGTAGGTCATGAAGGGCTTTAAATGCTAAACAGAGTATCTTCTATTTGATCTTGGAGCTAATGGAGTTTATTGAATAGGGATGTGGGTGCATGCGATGTTGTATGTGTGTGACAGACAGAGATAGAACAGACTCTACCACTAACTCAATTTAAATAATCTGTCAAATGGTTAGATGCTGAGAGTAACAACTGTCCTGGCAACCTCATAGGGCTGCTATGCCAATAAAATGAGATAAAATATGTCAAATTGTTTTGAAAAGTTTGGCTACAGTAACTTATTCAACTGCTTACTAATTCAATTCATCATGTATGTATTGAGCTTCTACCATGGGTGAGATGTAGTGCCAGGAGCTAGGGATATACAGACAGAAATAAAACCTGGGACTTACATTTTCTTGGAGACAGAGGCATATAACTTGTGCACAGATAAGTCAATTCAATATAATATGGGGGGGGCACTAACAGCTGGAGGTGATGGGATGATGGGGAAACAGGGAAGACTTCATGGCAGATGCACTTAAGATGAAGGAAAATATAGATTATGAAAGGTAGAAACAAGGAAGGTGTACACTCTAGGAATTGGGGATGACAGAAGCAGGAGACAGAACAGGCCGCACCTGGTAATCCAGCATAGCTGGACAATAACCTACCCAAAGTGGGAGAATCACAATAATCACCGACATTTATAGACCATACCACCTATATTATCTCAACAATTTTGTAAGGAAAGTACTCTAGATATTATTCTCATTTTTTTAGGTGAGAAAACTGAGGGCCAGAAAGAGGTCCAGTGACTAGCCCATAGTCCCAGAGTTTGCAAGAGGTGGGCCTGGGATTGTATCTCACATCCCAGCTGGCTCTAGTCCAGCACACTTTCCACTACTCCATACTGCCTTTAGTTAATAAGGTAAACTATGGCAGTACAGATTGGTGAGCTCCTTATAGGGAAGCAATGGATTATACATGTAGAATATGGAATGCTGCACTTTGGCAGATGTAGGTGATATGCCAATCTATTTTCTGAAATTATTTCTTTATTATATGATGGAGGGGTAGATTATTAGAAAGAGACAGGTGTTTCTAAAAGGCATCAATAATTATTTTTTAAAAAATAAGGGCAGTGGAAATCATATTGTGGAGGGTTGAGTTTATATTTTATCTATGAGGCTACAGGGAGAGAGTTTTGTGCAAGGGAATGACATGGTCAGAAATATACCTTTTAAGGATTTTGGCAGTATGGAAAAATGGGTTGGAATAGTAAAAAGCACAGAAGCAAGGAGGCAAGTTAGAAAGCTATTATAATAGTCTACACCAAAGTGACAAGGACTTGAAAGAGGATGCTGACCACAAAAAAATGAAAAGAAAGGCCCAGACGTGAGAGGCATTGTGGAGGACTTAGCTGTGACAGGACTTAGCAACTGAATAATATATAGAAAAGGGAGAAGTCAAGGACGACTCCAAGGTAACAAACCTGGATGATTAAAAGGAAACAAAAATAGGAAATTTTGAGGAGGGTTGTTATTTAGGAGATGACGAGTTCCACTTTGGGTGCACTGAATTTGAGATACTAATGGGACACATAAGGTATCTGGCAGATACCTGCTGAGCTGGGACTGGAGTCCAGGTGAGAGATTAGGGTTAAGTATATTGATGAGAGAGTCAGCTGCAGGTAAATGATAATTGAATCTATGCTGGGGGATAAGATCGCTAAAAGAGTGATAATCTAGTCTAGTGAGAAGAGAGGGTCAAAGACCGAGCTTTGGGGGAACACCAAAATTTAAAGAGCAGCAGACTGATGAAGGAGCAAAAAAGACAGAGAAGGCTTGGAGGGGATTATATCCCTGCATCAATTAAGGAGTAACCATTGGAAAAGAAGCATGGTTCAATGGAGAGAGTCCTAGACTGGGAGCCAGGAAGGCCTGTGTTCAACCTTCTCCTTTTGACACTTACTAACTGTATGGGCCATGGGCAAGTCACTTAACTTCTCTGAGGCTCAGTTTACTCTTCGTAAATAATCCTACAGCACTACACAAAAGTGAGCTTTATTATTGCCCATTGAGATGAAGTCATATTCTTCAAGTATTAAAAGAATATCTATGGTATAACCAAAATATTATTGATTGAAAACAGTCTCATATATTCCACTATGAAAAAGTCAAACAACTAGCATGAAGTTTCTATCTTGTGACTATGCTTTATCATAGTTGAGATAAAAAAGTTCAGATAACAGGCAACTACAGGCAACTCACATTTATATAGCCTGTAAGGCTGCAAAGCTCTTTCCTCATATTAACTCCACGAAGTAGGGGAAAATGACATTATCCCCATTTTGTAGACAAGGAAACTGAGGCTCAGAGTTGAAATGGCTTGCCCAAGGTCATACAGTTAATAACAAGACACAACTTGAATCCAAATCACTTGATATCCAAACTAATGCTCTTTGTCCTATGCTGGGTGCCTCTCACAGGATATCCATCACTACCCTCAAAGATCTCACAGTCTCCTAGGGTGACAAAACACCAATACAGAACACTAGGATATACAACATTACATGACAAATAGACTGGAGTATAAATAAGCTTATATGAGGTGTAAAGAAGTAAAATGTAAATAAGCAGGGAGATCACTGGGACTGGTTTATAAAGGGGAAAGAGACCTGGAACTGGAATTAGGAGACATGGGTTCAAATTTCATCTCCTCTATCGAGGAACCACCTAATCTGTAAATTGAAGAGGTAGGCTGGACCATATCTCAGGTTCTTCCTAGTTCTAAATCATAGGCTCGTAAGTTAAAAGAGGTGTGCGAACATCAGGCTTCCAGGACAGTTCTTTCTCCTTTTGTCCACAGACAACAGGGTAGGACTGAAGCCAGAGACCTGAGGGTCCTTCATATTACCTTGAACAAGTCAATTCTACACTCTGGGCCTCAGCTTGTCCCTTTAAAAATTAGAGGACTGGACCAGATATTGTCTAAGGTCCTTTTCTAAAATTTATGATCATGAGATCTTTTTCAGTCAGTCAATAAACATTTATTAAGCGCCTACTAGGTGCCAGGCACTGTGCTAATCGAAGGGGATTCAAAGATCCTGCTTTCAAGGAGATCCAGAAAGATTCAAGAAAGTCCTGTTTTCAAGGAGACCCCAGTCTAATGAGGGAAACTACATGCAAACAATTATGTAAAAACAAGCTGTGTACAGGGTAAGTAGGAAATAATCAACAGAAGGAAAGCTCTAGAATTAAGGAAGATTGGGAAAGGCTTCCTGTAGAAAGTGGGATTTTTGCTGAGACTTAAAGCAAGGAGGTAGAGATTAGGAAGGAGAGCATTCCAGGCAGGGGAAGACAGGCAGTGAAAATGTCACTGGAGGGTTGTATAAAACATAAGACTACAAATGGGACTGGGGGAGGGGGGACCTGGTTATGAAGGGCTTTGAATTTGAAACAGGATTTTATTTGATCCTGGAGATGACAGGGAGCCTCTGTGGTTTACTGAATGGGCCTGTTATGGTCAAACCTGCACTTCAGGAAGATCATTTAGACAGCTGAGTGGAGGATGGACTGGAGTGGGGAGAGAAAGGAAGACCAACCAGTAGATTACTTCAATAACTCAGTCTCAAAATGATGGAGACCTGTACCAGTATAATAGCAATGTCAGAGGAGAGAAAGGGGCATGTTGTGAGAGATGTTACAAGGGACCCAACAGTTGGGAGATTTGAGATGAGCTCAGCAGAGAGGTTGGGGCAGAAATGGTAGATTTGAGAATTGTCAGCAAAGGGATGATAAATAAATCCATGGAAGCTAATGAGATCACGAAGTGAAGCAGTATAAAGGGAGAAGTGAAGAGTGCTCGAGACAAAATCCTATGGGACACTCCCTGTTAGTGAGTTTGACCTGGAAGACAATTCAAGAAAGGAGACTTAGAAAGAGCAGTAAGAAGGTAGGAGGAGAACTAGGACAGAAGGTAGAGAAGCAGGAGACAGTGCTGTTCCAAAAACCAAGAGAGAATAGAGTAAGTATGAGATCAACAGTGTCAAGGGTTGAAGTGAGGTCAGGAAGGATGAGGACTGAGAAAAGGCCATTGGATTTGACAACTGAAAGATCACTAGTAACTTTGGAGATAAAGGTTTCAGTTGAATGATGAGCTCTGAAAACAGACTAGAGAGTTAAGAAAGTGAGAGGAAAGAAGTGGAAGCACCTATCGTAGACAACCTTTCAAAGAGTTTAACCACAAAGAGAGGGAAAGAGAGAAAAACAGCTACAAGGGATAACTGGATCAAGTGAGGGTTTTTTGAAGATGGGAAAGTAAGTTTGCAAGCAGCAAGGAAACAGACAATAGAGAGGAAGAGGTTGAAGATCCTGAGAGATAAGTGAGAGGGGATGATAGGAGAAACCACCTGGAGAAGACAGGACAGAATGGGATCACAGGTGCAAGTAGAGGGTTTAGTCTTGGCAAGGAAAAAGACCACTTCATCTTGTGAGACAGGGGTGAAGGAGGAGATAGTGGCAGAAGACAGCAATATGAAATGAAGGTGAAGGAGGAGACAGTGGTAGAAGACATATGAGTGATATGAAATGAGGAAGGGAAAAGAGAGAGCTCACAGTGAATATTCTCAATTTTTTTTCCTGCAAAACATGAAGCAACATTCTTAGCTGAGAGAACAGGGGAAGGGAAGCCATGAGAGGGTTTGAGGAGGGATGAAAAGGTTTGGAAGAGCCCCCATGGAGAGTAGGATGGTAAGTCAATTAGGGAGGTGTAAAAGTTGTCCTGTAGCATTAAAGGCCAACTGAGGTTATATGACATTGTAGTGGACCCAGTGAGCATGATTTTGTGATTTTTTTTTCCAGGTTCCTTCAGCAGCAAGTAAGGAGGAACCAGAAGATATTTTCAAATATCGAATGGGCTATCACATAAAAAAGATTTTTCTACTTGTTCCTCCCCACCCCCAACTAGAATCAATTGGAAAGATTTACAGATTTCATCTCAATAGAACAACAACAACAAAAACCCTAACTTTGAGAACTAAGTGTTTGAGAATGGACAGCACTGGAAAGATACTGAGATCTCCTTCGGGGTAAATGGGCCCCTCCGAAGGGGATGCTGGATGGTCACTTGTCAGCACCTATGAGTCTGTGACCTCTTTGGGCCTCACGTTCACATCTGTAAAGTGAGGGTTCTGGCTTGGAAAACTTCCAAGGTCACTTTCAGCTCTGACAACCTACGAGTCCATAACTTCTCTGAGCCTCAGTTTCCCTCTCTTTAAGGTGAGGGGGCTGGGCTTTGAAGGTCTGTCTCGGAGGCCCCTTCTAGTTCTGACAGTCAGAGGAGGAGGAGGAGGAAGAGGATGGGGAGGAAGAGGAGGATGGGGAGAAGGGGAAATGGAGGGGGGAAGGAGAAAAGCGAGGAAGAGGGAGGGAGAAGGAGGAGAAGAAGAAAGAGGAGGAGGAGGAAGAGGAAAGGAAGAGGAGAAAAAGGAGAGGGGGAGGAGGGGGGAGGCAGGAGGAGGACGAGACGAGACCAGACAGGACTCGTTGGGACCGGGCCGGCAGCCGGGCCCGCTGGCTAGGTCACTTACCGCTTGTAGCAGGGCCCCCGGCGGCGGCTGCTGCCCCGCAGCAGGCCCGGCCCCGGCCCCCGGTCCCGCCGCTCCCAACAGCAGTTCATGACGGGGCCGCTTGAGGGGAACGAGCGGCAGCTCCGGACCCTTCCTCTTGTGTTGCTCGATCATGGCCGCCTCAAGTGGTCCGCGCCGCTCAGTCCACAGGCCGCGCCGGGGTTTACGGCCCGGCTCCCATTGGTTAAGATTGTCCCCTCCCACGCAGGAACTTCCGTCCTAGGCCGGACCAATCAATTTCCTTCGTGTGCTCCAGAGCAAGTAGTTAATTCTTTTTCACCCCTTTTTATTGGCAGAGGCCATGGCCTTCTCGGAAAATATTGGACTGTGATTGGCTACTATGTGTGGGGGAGGGGCACGAATAAACTTCCTGTGAGGAATACTTTTGTTAACTTTTCCTCGCTTCCTCTTATTGGGTCGGAAGCCGGGCTTTCTCCGCGAGAATCAATCTACGGTTGGTCTTTGCGTCGGACAGACGGTGCCTGAGCGCGCGGCGCCTGATGGGAGGCGGCTAACGGATTGGCTGCGGGGAACGGCGGCCAGGGATTGGCTGTGCTCCGAGCGCTTCATGGCGGCTTCCTGTTAGATACTGTACCCGGCGGAGTGCTGAGTGAGTGAGTGTGGGGGTCTGGCTTGGGGACTGTCGGGGGCTGTGGGCGGGCTGGCGTTCGGGGATCCCGAGCCCGGGATTGTGTGTTTGCCGCCCTGGCTAGACCGGCTTGCTTTTTTCCCCGCCCGGGGAGGCTTGTGGTCCTGTCCATTGGCCTGGGGATCATTCAGTAGTCAACAGGCATTTATTAAGCGCCCGCTGAGTGCCGTGCTCTGAGAATCCACGTCCCTGTCCATTCTCCGGCTTCGGAGAAGAGGATACCTGCGAGGTTCAATGCACAGAACCCTAGGCCTGCAGCCAAGGGCCCTGGGTTCAGATCTCCCTCTCCTGTATTGCATTTGCTTCCCAGTTGGTCTCTCTTCCCCCAGACCCTCCCCTCTCTCCAGTCCATCCTCCACCCAGCTGCAGAAGTGACATTTCCAAAACACAGGTAGGACCCTGAGTACTCCCTTCACCCCCTAAAATAATCTGGGACTATTACCTCTGGGACACAGGGGTTCCGACTGTTGTTTGTGTCTGGACCCCTTTGGCAGTCAATCTTGTGAAGCCTGTGGACTCCTCCAAAGCATCTTTAAATGCACAAAATAAAATACATGAAATCACAAAGGAGGGGGAAAAATTTATTAAGTTCCAGGCACTGTGCTAAGCCCTTTACAAGTATTATTTCATTTGGTCTTCACAACAACTTTGGCACTTGAGGAAACTGAGGTGGATAGAGTCAAGTCAAGAGTCACAGCTGGAAAGAGGATTGAACTCGGGTCTTCCTGACTTTGTCACTGAACTCGGTGTCTTTCTCCCTACACTGCCCTCCCTTCACCCGCCATCCCTATTACTGTAGAGGACAAGGACACCATCCTCCCAGTCCCTCAGGCTCACAACCTAGGAATCATCCTGGACTGCTCCCTATCTCTCACCCTTCACATACTATCCAAGCTGTTGCCTTCAACTTTGCAGCATCCCTGGGATACGCAGCTTCTGGCCCCTGACACTGCCACCACCCTGGTATAGACCCTCATCACCTGAAACCTGGACTTCTGCTGTAGCTGCTGGTGGGTCGGCCTGCTTCATATCTCAACCCCCCCCAATGCATCCCTCTGTTCAAATGTCCTGAGGTGCAGGTTCTTCCAAGTCACTCGCCTACTCAATGAAGGCAAGGCTCTCTGTCACTTTCAGTAACAAATATCCTCTGTTTGGCATTCAGAGCCCTTCATAACTTGTCTCCCTTGGGCATCCCTTTCACTTTCCAGTCTTTTTACACATTACATACCCCACATCCTCCATATACTCTTCTATCCAGTGACACTGGCCTCTTAGCTGTTCCTCCAGCAAGGGATTCTGTCTTTGGACTCCATACGTTTTCCCCTTGTCTCCCATGCCTGGAATGCTCTGCCTTCCCGTCTCAACCTCCTGGCTTCCTTCAAGTCCAAGCTAAAATCCTAACTTTTACAAAAAGCCTTTCCTTTTCTCTCTTAAATCTAGTGTTTTCAGACTGTTGATTATTTTCTGTTTATCCCACATACACCTTGTTTGTACATAGTTGTTTGCAGTTTGTCTCCACCATTAGCCTGTGAGCTCCTCAAGGACAGGAAATATATTTTTTTTTTTGGCCTTTGTTTGTATCTATATCACTTAGCCCAGTGCCTGGCACAGAATAGTCGCTTAATAAATAATTGTCAACTAGATGGCTGTCTGCCAGAAAGGAAACCTGTTCTGTTGAAATACAGTTTATCAAACTATTAAAAAAAAATAGTTCATGGATCTCAGGTTAAGAACTCCTGTTCTAGAATAAAATGCAGACTTCTCTTTTTGACATTGAAAGCTCTTCCTAATGACCGGCTTATCTTTTCAGGCTGATTTTATAGTTACTCCTCATTTTGTACTCTGTAATCCAACTAAACTGATCTGTTTGCTCTCTCGTATATGTGGCATTTTCATTTCCTGTTATTTCTTTGCACAGGTTCACCCCACATACCTGAAATATACTTCCTCCTCAATTCCCTGGGTAAAACCTCAAGCTCCCTTTCAATGGTTAGCTCACTTGCCTCCCCCCCACCCCCCACCAGTGTCTTTCCTGACCACCCCCTTCCTTCTTGGTTGAACTCCCCTGTTGTAAGCAATTACATTTATTTTGTAAATATCATACATTCTCTTATTTGTGTACATGGTGTTTCCTTCAATAAAAGTGGTTCGTAAAGCCCAGGACTTGGAGTCAAGATCCTGCCGCAGTCTCTTACTGGGCTAGCTAGGTGGCACGATGCATAGAACACAGGACTTGGAGTCAGGGAGATAACCAGAGTTTGAATCCTGCCTTGTAATACTTATTAGCTGTGTGACCTTAGGCAAGTTATTTCATCCCTGTTTGCTGCCATAAGATGAGGATAATAACTCTCCTCCCAGGGTTGTGAGGATAAAGTTTAGAAAACAAGAATTTGGAAAATGAGATATTTGGAAAACGCTTTGCAAACTTTTAAGTGATAGATAAATGCTAGCTACTGTTATTACTACTACTACTACTACTACTAGTTATGTGACTCAGGGCAAGTTACAATTATGTTTCCTCAGAAAAGTTTAAATTTTATTCTAGAAGAGAAGTTCTTAACCTGAGATCCATGAACTTGTTTTTTGTTTTTAAGAGTCTGGTAAACTTTATTTTAATGCATTTGGTTTCCTTTAAGGCAGTCATTCATTTGATAAGCATTTATTAAGTACCTACTGTATGCCAGGCACTGGGCTATTCAATGGGGGATACAAAGAAAGAAAAACAGTCCCTGCCCTCAAGAAACTTACAATCCACATGGGAAGACAGCATGCAAACAAATGTACAATCGTAGAACACCCCCCATCCCCATTCTGCAAATTTATGTTATAACCAAACTAGACTCCTGGAGGTTCCCTAGTGTGACCCTCCATCCTTGATCTTTATGCAGACTGTGCTGTACCCCTAGAACAAATGCACTTTGTCTCCATCTTTACCTCTCAGACTCTTTAGATTCCTTCAAGGACCAGCTCAGGAACTACCTCCTCCATGAAATCTTTCCTACTCTCCCCCACGTTAGGCCTTCCCAGTTCCCAATTCCCCTGTATTTATTATCTGTGTCCATCTTGTACCCTGCTCCCCCTATAGTAAAATAAGAGAACCCTGACAGTGAAGACAGGCTATTACTGTCTTTGTGTCTCCAAAGCCCAGCAGCCACCCTGTGATTTTATCAGTGCAGGTGCCTCTCAATGTGGAAACTGCTTCCACAGATAGAGGCAGGGACTGTGTTTTGCATCTTCTTATATCCCCAGTGCTTAGCACAGTGCCTGGTGTTAGAAATAAGGCCTTAGAGAAATAAAGCCTTCTCGTTAAAAACGAAACTAAACTCGGAGTGAGTGAAGAATCGTTTATTTATGCTTCTTGTGAGAGAAGTGGGCACATCTCTCGGAAGAGATTGCACCGATTACAGAAGCGAGAAAAAGTTTTATACTGTTAGAACTCCGTAACTCCTCCCTTCCAGGCCCGGATTGGTCCACTCCTTTCCAGGTTACAATCTTACACATCCACCCATTCCATGTCCTTTTGACATGCCCCCCCCCCAATCCCAAAGCCCTTGTCCTTTGTCCTACTTAGGGCTAATTAAAACTGGTTCTGTCCTCTAGAACTTGGGGGTCTATTGAAAGATTAGGGCCCATCTCATTGGCTTGCCCTTTCGAGGTTTTGCAAGCTTGTTAAAACATTGTAACTTCTTTACTGATGTTGTAAGATGTCAGAGGTTATCTTAAATTGTGGGAGCCCTTACATTATTACTAACTTCTTTACTGATGTTGTAAGATGTCAGAGGTTATCTTAAATTGTGGGAGCATGATACCTTGTCCCTTACACTGGCCCATAGTAGGAGCTTAATAAATTGATTGGTTGATTGATTGATTTCTCTGGCCATCTACCATGTCTAGATTGCTCTCTTTCCTCATATCACTCCTTACTTCCCCATCTTCCTTCGTCCCAGGTAAAATCCAGCTTTCTACAGGAAGCCTTCTCCGATCCCTAGTGCCTTACATCTCTTGATCATTTCCTATTTATCTTGTATATAGGTTATTTGTACTACTGTAGATTTAGACCTTGCCCTAAGAGGGCGCTGAGTCCAAGCCTGTCATTTTACAGATGAGGAAAATTGAGTCCCGGAGAAGTCAGGTGACTTCTCCAGGACCACACAGTCAGTACATGGCAGAACTGGAATTTGAATCCAGTGCTTTTGTCTTTTGAGGCTTTTTTTTTCTGGTGTGCTGTGTCACATAGCTAATAAACGTCCAATGTGCAATTTGCACTTGGGTGATTCCCCACTCCAGGTTTAGCATTCTGCTCATTAAAGCTGCCTCTCATGGGAAAGTACTGTTCATGTGACACTTCAGTCACAGCCACTCCTGAAGGTCAGTATTTTAGGCCCTCACTTTAGAGGAGGCAGACAGAGGTGAAGTGACTTTCCCAGGGTCAGACAGCCAGCAAGTACAGGTGCTGCTCTGCCTCTCACATTGTAAAGAGCTGCATAAGTTGTGGAGAGTTGTACAAGTGAAGTTATTATTGCGCTCCATTTTCCTTTGGTGACTACTTGTAATCCTGAGGTTCTAACAGCGGCAATGCAGCCAAAGTTCTGACTCAGGTCCTAACAAGCTGGGGAGGCTTCAGATTTTCAAGGTGGGTGTACTGTGTACTTTAGCAGCTCATTAAGAGGAGGCTGGCCTCTAGGTGATGATCTTTTTAAGGCAGAGCAATTCATCAAAGGTAGCTAGTTCACCTAGGGGTTGTAATATGCACTGGGGGAGAGTATGCTGACTAGAGAAAACCACCTCTCCTTGAAGTGTTGAAGCATTACTCCCATGAGCCTGCTCTGGGCTGAGCCCTATACGAGGTGGGGGTGGGGAGGAGGACATTTATATAACACTGGAAGGTTTCCAAAGTACTCTATGTCCATTTTATTATTGGACGGACGTTCACATCTACTATGTGGGGCAAATGCTACCAGTTTT